AGAAAAAAAGGGTAAGCACCGTGACAGACTGTTTCGTGGGACTCTCACTGACCTCCATCAGGCGGCTGAGCCCTCAACCGTCTACAGAACCCACTGTCGAGTGACCCAAGTGCCAATTGGGCCCAGAACAAGACAAGACAAGACAAGACAAGCCAAAGCAGCAGCAACGAGGAACAGGGCAGGCACATCGCAAGGCATTGAAGGCAAGCACCAAAGCACAAAAGCAATCGCACAGGAAGGCGGCAAGGGGTTGCTTGCTGCCAACACAGGGACTCTCACTGACCCCCATCGGGCGACCGAGCCCTCAACCCTCTAAGAGAAAACCCACTATCCACTGACCCAAGTGCCAATTGGGCCCAAGACAAGACAAGCCAACCCAAAGCAGCAGCAACGGGGAACAAGGAAGGCACATTGCAAGGCATTGAAGGCAAGCACCAAGGCACAAAAGCAAGCACACACAGGAATAAAGGAGGTCGCATCTCTCTCTCTCTCTCCTGTCTCTTATACACATCTAGATGTGTATAAGAGACAGCAATATGACGTCAACCGCGCCACAATCATTATGCACAACCTCTGCGATTATGAGGTTATTCTCGTCCTTCAACCGATTGAGCAGTTTCTCAACACACTGCGTCTCCAACTTCCATGACGACTTGTTCCCCCGGAGCATGGTCTCCGTCCCCACGATCATTCTTGACTTCAAATCTACCGTCGTCGCCGTTTAATGCTGAGCGTCACGAGACGAATCGTAATGCCCATCAACCAAAACGACGACCGGATCGTTCGACCTACGCAATCGCGCAATGACCTTGTCGAAGCTCTTTTTAGTAACCCGTTCGACGTGTCGCAGCCATTGTCGGGAATCTGGGCCGTCATCTCGAAAAAAATTATAGAAAGTTTATTTCCTGACCTTCCTCATCCCTAAGCCCCGCAAAAGGTTATTCAATTGAGTGTAAGTCGTTCCCGCACTCAAAGTGGAGTGGAACAATTGAGTCTCAACCCTCGAATTTCTCACCCCGCCCGGTGAAACAACCTTCACGGAACTTCAGTGCCATGTGCACCCTTTCCCGCACTCGAATTGCAACTTGCAAATGTGACATGGATAATGGATCTTCTTGATCGTCACCTCAACGTTTTTCCCGTGTCGAGGACACGTTTGCTCGAACATCCGGAGAATCTGAAGAAGTATGACCGGCTCAATGAAAACGACATCAGGTCTTGCTTTAGCATCCCACATTGCCATTTGGTCCCTCATGCTCAATCGTTCAAACATCGGACCATTATCCGAATATCCCGGCTTGCCGTGGCGCCATTTCAATGCGTCACTGCGAGGTTTGCCACCTCGCGACTTTGGTGTCGCCGTTGCGTCCGATCCTTGTCCGCATTAACCCCCATGGCCAGACGATTGTTCATCGGGCCCGTACTTTGACATCAGCTCATCAATATGAACGGAAGTCCACTCCATGAGCTGATCGAACACGTCCTCGTACGAACAATCATTTTTCTTCTTATCTTTGGAGCCTCGAGTGCGAGTCGACAACTTCTTCCCCATCGCCTTCGCAATCTCACCCAGGCGATTTTTTTGATCAAGACTACATCGCACCCAGTGAGGCTTGCCTTCACGAGGTGTATTGGACCTCGTACGGAGCGATCGAGGCGAGAAACTCATCGCAGCCTCCCTATCATCAATTAGGGAAAGAACATTGCGTGCACGGTTGCTGAAAACCAGAGTGCATGATGTCGGCTGCACTGCTTCGATCGGTGAACGTGTCTCTTATGTTCGACTAACAGGCTCCCACGCAAAGATACCCGCAACGTGAAGCGCGCCGGAGTTGTCATGTCCCGAACACGGGAACGACCGCGGCAAACTAAATGGATGCGCGGCGTCTGAACGACTTTGTTGAACACCGCACATGCTCTTGACTTCCGGACCAAGGCGTCGACAACATCGCTGCGAGAGAGCCCATGGGCGAAGAAAATGGAGGACGAGAAGAAAGCACAGCGGATTGTGCAAATGAAGACGTTGCGGGATCGCCAACGAAAGTGGGGAGAGTCGGGATTGCAGCAATGGATGCACGCATGTGACTCAGGAGAGGAGTTTGTGTGACATTTGTCGAATTCAGCAAAGGAGGGAACGACAGAACGGCCATTCTGTCATCCAAACGCTGCCTGGTTGCAGGTCTCTCCAATATACAATCCGTTCAAGCGCGTCCGCGTGGATCCAAAAGACCTCTCCCTCGACCGCGTGAAATATCATGGTACATTGGAGAGCCTTGCAAAGAAGAAAGAGCGCGTGAGGCGGATGGAGATGAAGAGATAGGAGTAGGAAGCAATGGGGATTTCGGTGAGGGCGACAGAGCTGCATGAGGTTGTTCGCGGTCCATGTTGATGCCCCTGCTATATGGATGCGGAAGGGCAGACACACCTGCACACGCGAAAGCACAGCACCACGGATCACGATGTGCGTCCAAACACAATATATATATATATATATATATATATATATATTTCGGAGCAATTTGAAAGCTATCTTTCTCAATATTTTATTTATTCTGAATTTTTATTTTTCTGAGTTCTCTGTTATGTAAGCTATGTTTCTCTCAATTTGAAAGTAAATAAGCGGAGCAAAAAAGAAATGAAAAATCGACAAAGATGGTGGTCTCAAAACTTGCTTTCCGAATTACAAATTTGTTTGTTTTCTCTTTTCACTTTTTGTTTTCCCTTTATTTCGGGGTCCGAAAAAAAAATATTTTTTTTTCTAACTTTATTTGTAGGTTGTCTATTATGAAAACTCGGCAAAGAGAGAGAGAAGAGGACAACAAATGACGGACTGTGACAAACTGTATATATATATATATATATATGTTTTTATTTTTATTTTTTTTCTTCTGCCCAAAGAAAGGAAAAAAATAAATTGAACAGGGTTTTTTTTTTTTTTGACTATCGTGTTCATGATATGGGTTCAGTGTGTCGAGTCAGTTTGTCGATGGTTCAGCCTCGTTATGAGTCCGTCAAACTCCAACGAAACAGTTTCTCACACATCTCGTCGTTTGTTGTCCTCTTTTCTCTCTTTCTGCCAACGGTTTACTGGGGACTTATGTTTGTGACTATATATATATATATATATATCGTCAAATAGAATTGTCCGGTAAACCGTAGGCAGAGAGGGAGAAGAGGACAACAAACGAGGGGCTGTGACAAACTGTTTCGTCGGAGTTTCACCAACTATATGTATATATATATATATATATATACATATATTCAGCCTCCTGATGAGTCGGTGAAACTCCGATGAAACAGTTTGTCACAGCCACTCGTTTGTTGTCCTCTTCTCCCTCTCTGCCTACGGTTCATCGGGCAGTTCTATTTGCGAATATATATATATATATACATATATATATACTCTGCCTACAGTTTACCGGGCAGTTCTGTTTGTGACGATATATATATATATAGAGAGAGAGATATAATAGGTTTACCGGCTAGTTATATGTTTGTGCCTACACGTGTGTATACCGTGGGTGTATATGCTTAGCGTTGTGTATGAAGTAGAAGAAGAAGAAAAAAAAAAATATGAGACGATGACAAATACAAGACCTAACAGAAGAAAAAAAACAAATATCTGTAAAAAAAACAAGGAAAAAATAAAATAAAAAAAACACCATGCGGTCAAACTCCATGGAAAAATAAAATAAAAAGGACACCATGCGAAAAAAAAAAAAAAGACAATATCCGTCAAAAAAACAAGGAAAAAATAAAATTAGAAAACCAAAAAAACAAGGGAACAAAAAAAGAACACCATGCGGTCAAACTCCGACGAAACAGTTTGTCACATGCACGTCGTTTGTTGTCCTCTTTTCTCTCTCTCTGTCAACGGATTACCGAGCAGTTGTGTTTGTCACGATATATGTATCGTTTGTTGTTCTCTTTTCTCTCATCTGGTTTACCGGCCACTTCTGTTTTTGTGCCTGCATGTCTATATATCGTGGGTGTCTATGCTAACCGCTGTGTATGAAGTACAAGAAGAAGAAGAAGAAGAAAAAGAAAAAAAAAAAAAAAAAAAAGAAGAAGTAGTAGAAGAGGAAGAAGAAGAAGAAGAAAAAGATGAGACAAGGACTAAAACAAAACCCAACAGAACAAAAAGAAAAAATATCCGTAAAAAAACGAAGGAAAAAATAAAAAACAAAACAAAATAAAAAAATTGACAAACCAAAGATGAACGCGAAGAAGACGTAGAAGAAGAAGAAGCAAAAAAAAAAATACAAAATCAAGAGCATATACGATAAACATCGCACTCTCAACGGACAAAAAACGATCGGAAAATAAAGCAAAAAAAAAAAA